TGCAGGGTACACAGGTTCGTCCAGGAAGATCCCACATGCCATGAGCAACTAAGCCCGTGTGCCACAGCTACTGAACCTGTGTACCACACTACTGAAGCCCACACACCTAAAACCCGTGCTCTGCAACAAGAGAAGCCACCACAGTGAGAAGCCCGCAGACTGCAACGAAGAGTAGCCCCTGCTTGCCACAACTACAGAAAGCCCACACACAGCAACAAAGACCCAATGCAGCCAAAATAAATAAATAAATAAATGTATTTAAATTTTTTTTAAAAAATCAATATACAAAAATCAGTTGCATTTCTTACACTAACAATGAACTATCAGAAAGAGAGATTAAGAAAACAATTCCACTTACAATTGCATCAAAAATAATAAAATACTTAGGAATAAATGTAACCAAGGAGGTGAAAAACCTGTACACTGAAAACTATAAAACACTGATGAAAGAAATCAAAGAAGACACAAACAAATGGAAAGATAATCTGTGCTCTTGAATTAGAAGAATTAATATTGTTAAAATGACCATACTATCCAAAGCAATCTACATATTCAGTGCAATTTCTATCAAAATTCCAAAGGCATTTTTCGCAGAAATAGAACATACAAACCTAAAATTTGTATGGAACCACAAAAGACCCCGAATAGCCAAAGCAATCTTGAGAAAGAAGAACAAAGCTACAGGCATCACACTCCCTGATTTCAAGCTATCTTACAAAGCTATAGTAATCAAAACAGTATGGTACTAGCATAAAAACAGACACATAGACCATAGACAGAATAGATAGCCCAGAAATACATCCATGCATATGTGGTCAAGTAATTTACTACAAAAGAGGCAAAAACATACAATGGGGAAAGGACAATCTCTTCAACAAATGTTGTTGGGATAACTGGACAGCCACATGCAAAAAAATGAAACTAGACTACTATCTAACACCATACACAAAAATTAACTTGAAATGGATTAAAGACTTGTATGTAGTAAGACCTGAAACAATAAAAGTCCTAGAAGAAAACATCCGTGGCAATCTCCTTGACATTGATCTTGGCAATGATTTTTTACATCTGACTCCAAAAGCAAAGGCAACAAAAGCAAAAATGAACAGCAAGACTATATCAAACTAAAAAGCTTTTGCTCTTCAAAGGAAATCAACAAAATGAAATGGCAACTTACTAAATGGGAGAAAATATTTGCAAATCATATATCTGATACAAGGTTAATATCCAAAATATATAAAGAATTCATACAACTCAATAGCAAAACAAACAAAAAAAATCCAATTAAAAAAATGGGCAGAAGATCTGAATAAATGTTTTTCCAAAGAAGACATACAGATGGCCAATAGGCACATGAAAAGATGCTAAGCATCATTAATCATCAGGGAAATGCAAATCAAAGCCACAATTGGATATCACCTCAAATCTGTTGGCTATTTGAATGGCTATTATAAAAAAGAAGAAATAACAAGTGTTTGTGAGGGTGTGGAGAAAAGGGAACACTTGAGCACTGTTGGTGGGAATGTTAATTGGTAAAGCCACTTTGTAAAACAATGTGGAGGTCCGCCCCAAAATTAAAAATAGAACAACATGATTCAGCAACTCCACTTCTGAGTATTTATCTGAAGAAAGCAAAAATAGTCATTTGAAAGGATATGTGCACCCCTATGTTCGTTGCAGCATTACTTCCAATAGCCAACATATGAAACAACCTAAATGTTCATTGATGGATGAATGGATAAAGAAGATGTAATACATGTACACACACACACACACACACACACACACACACACACACACACAATGGAATACCATTCAGCCATAAAAAATGAAATTTTGCCATTGGCAGCAACAGGAATGGACCCTGAGGGCATTATGCTAAGTGAAATATTAATAAGTCAGACAGAGAAAGACAAATACTGTATGATCTCACATGTGGAATCTAAAAAACAAAACAAACTAATAATTATTTTAAAAAACAAGCTCATAGATACAGAGAACAGATTAACAGATTGGTGGTTGCTGGAGGGAAGGGGAGAGTTTGGGGTGGGTAAAATGGATGAAGAGGTTAAAAGTTTCAGCTATAAAATAAATAAATCCTGGGGATGTAATGTACAGCATGGTGACTGTAGTTAATAATACTGTATTGCATATTTGAAAGTTGCTAAAAGAATACATCTTAAAAGTCATCATCAGGAGAAAAAAAGAAAAAAAATTTTGTAACTATTTATGGTGACAGCTGTTAACTAGACTTATTGTGGTGATTATTTCTCAGTGTATATCGAATCATTATGTTGTACACCTGAAAGTAATATAATGTTATATGTCAATTAACCCTCAATTTTTAAAAAAGAAAGAAAAAATAGTCCCTGCCCAGACTAAGGAGACATATCAACTAAATGCCAATGTGGGATCCTGGACTGGATCCTGGAACAGAAAAAGAACATCACTGGAAAAACTGGTAAAGTTCATATAAGGTCTGTACCTTATGTTAATTTCCTGATTTTGATAATTATTCTATGGCTATGTAATCTATTTATATTAGGGCAGCTGAGCGAAGAATATATATGAACTCTGTCTGTACCATTTTGCAACTTTTCTGTAAGTTTAAATTGCTTCAAAATAAATTTTTAAAAACTAAATTAAAAAAATAAATTTTAGGAGTTAGAGTTCCCTCATCACCTTTCCAACCTCCACCCAATGCTGGGTCCCAAAATCAATGCCACATGTTTTAGATTTTTGTTATGCCAGGGTCCAACTTTCAAACATCAATTTCTATTATCTGTTGTGCATAACACACTACCTCTAATTTCATTTTTAAATAAATGAGCATTTTAAATAAATGTAGCAGCTCAAAATAGTAACAACCATTTTTTTGCTCACCATTCTGCAATATAGACAGGATGATGGTGACAGCTTGTCTCTCCTTCGTGTAATGTTGTTTGGCATAGCTTGATTTGGGATGGAGGATCCAAGATGGATTCAATTACATGTCTAATGCCTTAGCTGGAGTGGCTGGGATAGCTAGGAGCTGGCTGGACCTAACTCCCTCCTTACTCTCTTGTCCTCTAAAAAAGAGGCACACTGCCTCCACAAGGCCATTCTCTTCAACAAGGTAGTCAGACTTCTTCACGTGGTCATTATTTTCCAAGAGAGCAAAAACTAAAGTTGCCAGGTCTAGGCCCAGAACTGTAGTAGCATCATTTTTGCCTCATTCCATTGACCAAAGCAAGTACCAGACCCATCAAGATTCAAGACTGGGGAAAAAGACTTTGCCTCTTGGTGGTAAGCTTGTAGAGAGATGGAGGAATTGTTGATGGTCATCTACCACTGTGACCCTAGCTCTCTTCCTTATTTAAAAAAAAAAAAATATATATATATATATATATTTATTTATTTATTTAATTTTGGCTGCTTTGGGTCTTTGTTGCTGGCCGTGGGCTTTCTCTAGTTGCAGCAAGTGGGGGCTACTCTTTGTTGTGGTGCGTGGGCTTCTCATTGCAGTGGCTTCTCTTGTTGCGGAGCACGGGCTCTAGGCACATGGGCTTCAGTAGTTGTGGCACGCAGGCTCAGTAGTTGTGGCTCGTGGGCTCTAGAGCACAGGCTCAGTAGTTGTGGCACATGGGCTTAGTTGCTCTGCGGCATGTGGGACCTTCTCGGACCAGGGCTCGAACCCATGTCCCCTGCATTGGCAGGAGGATTCTTAACCGCTGAGCCAACTCTTCAAATCAGACAGTTTTCCATGGTCAATTCTGCCTAGACTCTATCATTTAAGAAACACCACTATCAGCTGACAATTTGATTAGCAACTGAATGTTTTCAGTTTGTTACCTATTTTGTTCCTTAATCATGTAATCTTTTCATTTCCTCACTCATCTATTTCACATGCATAATTCTACTCTAGGATTAATATATTTCACAAAAGTGTTCATTAAAATTCAGTAAAATAAAAGTGATAATACATGTATACATATATATGTTTACATAATTACATGGAAAATGTATGGAAGAATAAACCAGAGAGAAGATAACACTGGTTATCTCTGAGGTTAGGATGGGGAGGGAGGGCCTCAGAGGGAGAGGAATTTCTCTTTTCATTTATTGCTTTTTATATGATTTGAAGGTTCTTTACAATGATCATTTATTATTATGAAAAAAGTTATTTCATCAAATAGAATTAGGACTAAAAATAAACAAATACCTATTATCAAAAGAATATCAAATCAACCAAGGAAAGAGCTCAACTGTAATTTCATTTTTAAATAAATGAGCTCACTAAGGAATTTCCAGCATTTAAGCCTAAAGGTCTGTTTGATGTCTGCTGCACAACAGAAATACATGAGAATAACTGCTATAAGTGCTGTCTAGTAGAGATACTGTATAGTAGACAGGTTATATCTTACCCTGAGTACCCTCTCTCCCTAGATCAACCATCTCTACTAGATCTACTCTTCACTCTTTGTACCATCTAATGACTTTTGCTGCTCAAAGAAAATACACTCCAGAAATAATCATCTGGTACCACAGCAATACCACCATTCAAAGCAGTGGCAGATTACTTTATGATCCAAGAAATCTCAAAGGTCCCTTAGTTCACCAATCCCATTTTACAAAGGAAGAAACTGAAGCCCAAGGAGTTTATATGCCCAGATTACATAGCTACTCAATGAGGGATCCTGGATTGGAGTTTGGGAAATTTCTTGAATAAATTCCCATCAGTGAATAAAGAGGGGAAGAAAACCTCGCTTTTAGAGGCTTAAGTTAATTAGAAATTTCACTGGAGAAGGCTGTTAATGGTATTTTCAAGCTTGTACAGGGGAGAATGAAGGCAACAAGAAGACTACCTAACCAGAAACAGTAAATAGGGTTTGGAATAGGGAAAGATGGTGACTGATACTTACTCTCTGTCCTAAAGTGTCCTGAAATTGAACCATGAGAATTAGGGCTTTAATGATCAAACATGAATTGCTGCGTGTTACAATTCTGCTTCTCCTCCTCAGTTCCTAAGATCACTGGGAGAATATCTTCCAAACAACGATGGAAAGGAGGCAACTGTTATACGTGGATTGAGAAAAAGAAAAGGGACTATGCTCTTTTGAAAGGAAGGAAATGCCAAAAGCTTCCGGGAATAGAGGGAAACACTGCCACCTGCTGAAGAGTTGGAGTCAATGAAAATGGTGCCAGGCATGGTTAGAGGGAGCATCTCCTGCAGGGCTCAAAATACCGTATGCTAACACATATATATGGAATCTAAAAAAAAAAAAAAAAGGTTCTGAAGAACCTAGGGGCAGGACAGGAATAAAGATGCAGACGTAGAGAATGGACTTGAGGACACAGGGAGGGGGAAGGGTAAGCTGGGACGAAGTGAGAGAGTGGCATGGACTTATATATACTACCAAATGTCAAACAGATACCTAGTAGGAAGCAGCCGCATAGCACAGGGAGAGATCGGCTCAGTGCTTTGTGTCCACCTAAGAGGGGTGGGATAGTGAGGGTGGGAGGGAGATGCAAGAGGGAGGAGATATGGGGATATATGTATATGTATGGCTGATTCACTTTGTTATACAGCAGAAACTAACATACCATTGTAAGTAATTATACTCCAATAAAGATGTTAAAAAAATTTAAAAATTTTTATAAAATCAGTTAACGAATCTATTTGCAGTCTGAGCAGGTCAGTGCAGAGAGAAAGTTTAGTTCTGGATTTTATCAGGCCAATCTGTAGTAGAGAAAGGTCAGCTTATCTCTACTGTGAGGATGGTAGAGGCCTGCATCCCTGCTTCCCTTTCTTCCATGAATATTTATGCCTATTAGCTCTGAATTTTTTCCCAAAACCTAAATCTCAAAATAATTAAATATACTTGGTTGAGACAAGATAAAAGTGATCTGAGAGGAAAAAGCAATACAAAGAAGTTTATTCATATAACATATGCACAGGGTTAAAAATTCCCAGTGGCTCACTACTACCATTCCCCAGACTGTCTGGTTTTTTTTCCTTTTTACTCTTCCTCTAATATTCACATACAAATATACACACAAAGGGCAATTGCAAGAGAGGGCTGGGAGAAAGTTGCTGATCCTTTATATAGACTTAGCCTTTCCCCTTTGCTATGGTCTGAGTGTGTCCTCTCCAAATTTTTACATTGAAACCCAAACCCAAGATGAAGGTATTAAGAGGTAGGGCCTTTGTGAGGTGATTAGACCATAAAAGCAGAGCCCTCACGAATGGGATTAGTGCCCTTATAAAAACGGTCTGACAGAGCTCCCTTCTCCTTCTGCCATGCCAGGTGAGGTTACATCTAGAAGACAACATTTATGAATCGGGAAGCAGGCCCTTGCTAGACACAGACCTGGTCATGTAGGCGCACTGACCTTGGACATTCAGCCTCCAAAACTGAGAAATAAATTTCTGTTCTTTATAAGCCACCCAGTCTATGGCATTTTGCTATAGCAGCCTGAACAGACTAAGACACCCTCTTTCCAGCATCCTTCCGCTCCCTTTTCTCCTGCCCTCTTTCTTACCATTCTCTTTCTTCCTATCCCATTTTCCTCCTCCTAACCTCTATATTCCTAGATTCTCTTTATTAACGTACAAGAAACTGATATGGCTAGGAGACCAGGTGGGAAGGTGACATTTACAGGACTGCCAAGTTACACAGCTCCAAGGGCCCCGATCCACATTGTATGTGATGCTGTTACTTCTTGCTTTTTCAACCACATGAACGTAGTATCTTTAGTTTATATTTAATTGTTTAAAACCTAACCTTAGCGGCCCAATGGTAGGCTACTGGTTAATTCCGTGGTTCCATTTAATGATAAAATAAAGCAGTTCTGGACCTTACCCAGTTATCAGTTTCTTATTAACAATTTCTTAGGATTAATAAAACAAGTTCTAAAGGTACTTTCATTGTGATTTAGATTTTTCTATCTTGCAGAACTTCAGAAAGAAACCATAGGAAAATCTAATGTTGTCAGACCTAACTTAGATGGAAATTTTTACCTATTCTATATACAATAGATGAACAATTCTCTTTTGTGAATTTTTCCTAATTAATTGTACTTGAATGTACTACATTTCTTAAAGGATGTACAGGTTTTATATTTCAGGAAACTCGAGGAAAAGGAGGTCTGTAAGCAAAGGTCATGGTAATTTAAAATTAATTTGGGAATATTTCAGGTCCTTAACATAAATTTCATGAAGCTGGGAAACTGAAAGCTAATGGATAGAAACAGTCTATTTTCTGAGAAAAACAAAACTCTCATTTACCTAGCTGTGAGCCCTAAGTTTTATCTGAAATTTTCCTGGACGTAATACCTTTGTCTTGGATGCCTCCTAAGGTACAGCCACAGACCATTGGCTGCTAAAGTTCATGAGACAAACTTTTTCCTAAATTACCTGTTGAAGCAAGTACAAAGGAATGCTTAATTGAGATGTGTCTTATTAATGTGTTCTTGTGGACTTACTAACTATAAAATATTATATTTTATTATTTTATTATAGTCTTTATAATGATTTTTAAAATAACTTGTAGCTGTAAAATAGGACTGTCTGCATTTCATATTCTGTTGAGGCACTTGTCCTATTAACTGGTCAACTTTTTCTTATGAATTGAATTTGGCACATTAAGTGTTCTCAGTCTTTAAGTAGAATTAAACTGGTCCCTGACTGAGAATGGCCATTATTCTATTTTTGAAATGTACTGTCCTTTTCAATTACATCCAGAAACTTGTAAACCAGAAAAATTTTGCCCTAAGAGTAAGCTACTTTTGGTAGTATACTTACCTTGGTAGTTTACTTGGCCTGAGTTTGCTGTTGGAAGCTAGGTCAAGCGATCCCAACTTCTTGTTCTCCCAAATTGCACAGAATGTTGATAATAACCTTTTCTACTAGACATCTGTTTATTTTGCAGTTAACAGAGGGTAAAGGAGGCCTTAAAGACATTTCTGCTTCAGGGCACAGAATGCAAACCAACTATAGTGCTGTCTTTCTACCATCTTTGTTCACGTAGACTAAGGATGCCCTTTAAAGAAAGAAAATCATGGATAAAAATACTTCCAGAGGGGATCTTCCCTGGCGGTCCAGTGGTTAAGACTTCACCTTCCAACGCAGGGGGTGTGGCTTCGATCCCTGGTCAGGGAGCTAAGATCCCACATGCCTCACAGCCAAAAAACCAAAAACATAAAACAGAAGCAATGTTGTAACAAATCCAATAAAGACTTTGAAAATGGTCCACATCAAAAAAATCTTAAAAAATAAATACTTCCAGAGGTTGTCACAAGCAAATTATAGAAAGAAATTAAGTGTCTCATAGAGCCCTGGTGGGTTACTACACATTGGTCACCAGTTTTTTTTTTTTAATTTTATTTTTTTTCCGGTACGCGGGCCTCTCACTGTTGTGGCCTCTCCCGCTGCGGAGCACAGACTCCGGACGCGCAGGCTCAGCGGCCATGGCTCACGGTCCCAGTCGCTCCGCGGCATGTGGGATCTTCCTGGACCGGGTCACGAACCCTGTCCCCTGCAGCGGCAGGCGGACTCCCAACCACTACGCCATCAGGGAAGCCCGGTCACCAGTTATTTAAATAAAGTGACCATGGGATTTCCCCCAAAGTAGAATATTCCTATGACTCACATACAGGGAACTTTGGAGGGACTTCTCCCAAGTCCTTGAGAGCCATAGCAATGTCCTCAGTGATGAGGGTTCAGTGAAACAGTCATATAGCTTAGGAGACTCCAACAGTAGTAATTTCAATTCTGGGTATAATCCCCAGAGTAGTGGTCTTCAAACTAGGGAACTGAGACACTCAAGATAGTTTTAAGATGATCAGTTCCAGATCTTTAACTTCAATATATACTTCCTCCCAAATCTGATCTTCCTGAGAACCAGTGTAGTTAAGTGGCCCTTGTGGTTCCTAGCCCCACCTCCCTTTTCACACTGGCCCTTTCTCCCACTTTTTTAAAAGAGAAAGGCATACCTCTACCTAAATGCTAAAATGGTGTACTGCTCCAAAGTGTAAAAACCTGCAAGGACCTGAAGAGACATTCTGAAATAATGATATTGGTGTTGAGAGGCTAAATGATTTTACTGACCAACAAACCCTTTTGAAAGTTAGATTGTTTAACAATACATGTTTTCTAGTAAATTGAAGGAAGACCTATTTATATTGTCCACTGAAAAATTATTAAAGATCACTAAGTGATGTGTGGCATACAACTTGGAAAGCTTTCCGATAAATGTGTGACATCACTAAAACAATTCCTTCCAATCACATATCTATGTAAACAATATTCCTCATTGTTCATAATATAAAGGCAAACACTAGAAATAAACCGATGTGTGAACCTGTCTCTTTCTGGAAATAAGTAAAATTCACTTATGATATATAATTTTTTAAAGCCCTATTGATTTCTTTTTTATGTTTAATAGTTACAACATTTTAAAGCATTGATAAATTATGAACTAAAAATAATTAATGATAATTAAGAATAATTTAACACTTAGAAGTATTATGGCAAAGGAATTTAACATAATTTAATTTAAATTTATGTATAAAATTTGTTACAGAGAAGTATGATAGAGTGATCATTAAAGATATTCACACATAATGTATATTATGTTCAGATAAAAATCTGTGGCAGGAGTGGAAAGAAAATTCAAGTGCAAAGAGAAAATGAAGTGATGTAAAATTTCCCACTATAAGAGAAGCACTTGTTCATGTTGTTAATGTTTTGATGGATAATGATGAATATATCAAATCACTATGGCATTTATATTCCATTAGATACATTTATTAATTCTACTTTTAAATGTTAATGTTTACACTACAAGGAAATTATTTCCTTTGTAAGTACTTAAACTCATAATGAAAAGTTTCATTCCAATTCTAAAATGTGTAAGGAAGAAAAGTTTGTCCAAATTGTTTGTGGGATAAGCTAGCAAAATAGTTTAAAAATTCCTTACTCTAGAAAAACTTTCATACGTGTGCATAAGAAAACATGTAGGGATTTTCATGGCAATATTATTTGAAATAGCAAAAAGTTAGGAAGAACCTAAATAAATATCCATCAATATGTATAAATAAAATGTGATATTTTCAGATGATAGAATTATTATACACTAGGTTAAAAGGAAGAAATTAGATCAATTTATCAACATGGTAATATCTCAAGATTTACCTGATCCTCAGAATTACAGTAGGCTCATCTTTCTCTCATTTCCTATCCTCACAACAGTGAAGCCATTCCAGGAAGCAGGAAGTCCACAGGCTATGTGGTATCACCCAAACCTTGGTCCTGAAGCAGAGAACTTTGAATGGGTGTGTAACATGATCATATCGTAGTTATTATCATGAAGGCTCCACAGTTTTCTGAGGCATTTTAATGACTACCCCTTGTGGGAGTGGAGGGGAGATTAAAACGGCCAAAGAACCAATTAGAAGGAGAAGAATTTCTTCATCATCTTTTTGAAATTTCTACTTGCCTGGAAAGAGGAAGTAAGTTATTTATTTATTCATTTATTTATTTATTTAGGATGGATAGAGGGAATATTAGTGATCTAGCAAATATCCAAAGGTGAGATAAGTAGAAAGCACCTCTTAGCAAGAAATTAATTCTATGGTGATAAAATCATAGTTCAGGAGTTCATTTCTGTAGGAAAGCAAAATCCATAAGGCGCAGGAATGACAATTAAGTTCCTTGTCTATATGTATAAACTTCATCCTTCTCTTTCTGTTTAGAGAAATCTACTAAAATATTTGAATATTTCAAAAATTAAATCCTATTTTCTCACTAACCCCAAGGTAAAATTAGTGATAACATGAAATGAGGACATAATAAGAGTAATAATGATAATTACTATCAATATTTTATTATAACTAACATTTGTTGATAACATTTAGAAATGTATAGGGTCATTAAAGGGCACATGAAACGTCTTAAGAAGCCCCCTGGCATGTTTACATTTTCTCTCCTAGGTCTCTGCAAATATGTTTTTATAAGGACAGCCTGGGGTAAGCACTTTGATACAAATAATAATGAATATTTATTGACTATACATTACTACTAAATGGTCTACAGGCAGATCTACAGAAATACAGCTCATGTTTTTCTTATAATTTGACTCTATATTTGATACTGCTTCTGTATCACAAGTATTGAAATCATTCCTCTCCTGAAATAACTGAGGCTTTATTATCATTTCTGCAATTCTCCACCCCCAGGAATTTTCTCCCTAAGGTTTCCAGTATTCTGTAAGTACTATCTCAGCAGACCCATTCCATCAGTTCACCAGACATGCCTATACAGAACCAAACCTCCAGAGTGAAGCAGCCTTCATACAAGTACCTCTACCAAAGGAGAGACAAAGGGAGAAAAGAAATGTTATCAGATTGATTGTAATCATTAATCCTTATACTGTATATATGAAAGGAAGATGCAGGATTGTAGTTTTGGACATAAAATTAAACTGGATGGCTATCCACTGGTAAATATATCCAACATTTTGCTGCATTTAATACTTTCTTGTTACTCCATTCTCTCTGGAGCGCAAACTGAAGCATTTCTTGAGTCAGACACCCTTGGTGTTAGTTTACAGGAAACACTTAATCTGAGTCACTTTTTGCTTCTTTATACACCATTCCCCACTGCCTTACCCTGAAAGGTGAGGTACTTTACTATGTATACTGAAATCATAAATTCCTTGAGAGGCTATTTAGCATAGAGGCTAGAAGCATCATTTCTGGAGCCAGATTGTCTGCTTTCAAATATTGCTCTGCCACTTAACAGTTGTGAGATCTTTGGCGAGTTACATAATCTCTTGTATCCCTTGTCTGTAAAATGGGGATAATAATAGTACCTACCTCACAGGGTTGTTACGAGGATTGGGTGAGGATATATATATTATATTACCTAGAACAAGTCTGGCACATAGTAAACACTATATAAGTGCTCGTTGTTAGCTGGTTTTATTGAGTGCAGATACTATATCTTACTCAGTTGTATTCTCCTTATTGCCACCTCTGACACCTTGCATATTATTTGAGATATGGTAAACTTTCAGTAAATGCCGAATGAATGACTAATAGCTATCAACAAGTGCAAGATGGGAGATGATAAGAAAACAAGGATTCCCCTGGTCCTTCAAGATGTCCCCAGTAAACAGTCATTTTATGTCTTTTATTGTTATAATGTTTCAGTTAAGAGTTTAAATAAGCCACATTTGCCTCTGAGTCAAAGTATGGTAATGAAATAGTCCAATAGTCCAATCACAGTAACCTGCCACATTTTTTAAGTCACATGTCCAATATTATGACATAAGCAAGAATGCATACAATCTCCTTTTCCACCCATTCAAAATTCCCTGTGAGGGCCAGGTTCAGGAGATGTCACCTCCTCCATAGACTAGATAGCTTCCTGAATAATGTCTCCTACAAACTAGAAGGATGATAGTTCCAGCTGAACTATACAAAGAGCAAACTAGCAACGGGCTTCCCAAGAACCGGCCTCATTCACAGTTGTCAGAAGGTATAGTACCTCTAGACTCTCTAGTTTAAACCCTGCCAACTCCTAACTACATCACAGTCTTTGCTTCAGTGTAGCTAGTCCCACTTCCCATTAAGTTTCTTGGAGGTTAAAAAATAATTCTTTGTACAAAGGTGTAAACCTCTGTACTTCTCACAATGCCTAGCACAGTTTTTTTACATATCAGATAGACAGTAAGTATTTATAAACTCAATGACTAAAAGACTGCATACTGTTTCAAATATATACTTAAACATACAAATATATCTTATCAACTGAATATAACATAATCCTCAGATAATAATATCCATGTATTTTGTTACCATGTCATGTTATATAAACCTTTCTTTCTATACTTTGGTGTAGGATATTATCTGCAAAGACTGTAATCTCTACTTCCATTTTTTGTTTCCTAGAGGGAACATCAACAGAGCAAATGTCAGACTTAGTTAATAATCTGTGCCCTGAAGGGGAAAAAAAGGTCTATGAGGCCTTTTTGATCATAAAGCAAACATAGTAATGTACCTTTTCCTCAGCTGCAGCATAAACAACCAAAATTTCCGGGAATGTGGACTCCTACTTTTATGCAGGAGGCTAACTTTTCTCTTTCAAACAAGTTCTGATGAAATTATCATTTTCTAACATTTCTCTCTGAATGTCTCTAAGATGGAAGTGGCCAAATCACAACTGAGTTTGATTTCACAAATTATCCTTACCAACTCTGGAACAATGTAGTGCTTTATTAAAACTCCAGTGTGAGAAAGGAAAACTACAGTATTCTTATTCTAGAATAAGTAATAACCTTTTTATTTTCAAGTGACCCAAGCAGAGTTAAGCTATGTCTTCTGGCCAACAGTGGCAGAGCTAAAGCACAGCCCTGGGGAGGACAACATGGAAGGGCAGAAGAAGAATGGGAATGGAACAAGAGTACAAGGAAAAGATGGGGGGATGAAGGTGGATAATGGAAAGGTGCTCCCTTCAAGGATCAGCTTCTTCTTTAAACCCTGCTCTACTGATTAACCAAGTTCACAGATGGAAAAAAAATTGTGAAGAAAGGAAAAAGACAAGGGAACAGATAAGATGGAAAAGATCAGTGGGGGACAAAAAGAAAAGAAAGAAGTCCATCTGGTGGAGAGCAATAGAGCATAACATGAAATTGCCTTAGGTACCAAAGCTCACTGATCTATTCTAGAGTCTTCAGCCCACTTGAGACAGTAACCTAGTTCTAGCCTAGTTCCACTCCAATTATGAGGCCTTGTCCTTCTTTTATGATGGGTAAGAATTATTAGTGTTTTGTTTATTTTCTTATATGAATTTATTTAAAACTATTATCTGCAAAAGATAAGCAAACTCCTTTACCTTCCTTCTACTCAATTACATATATTTATTCAGCACTACTCTCATTTCTCATTTTTTCCCACACTGTAAGTGAAAGAAATGAACTTTTGGCTTCTAACCATATGTCTTTGAAGTAAGCTTCTCAAAGACATAAAAATTGGCCCAAACAGGACCTAGGTCACTTAGCCTTGAGATTATTTATAGTGAAACATTAGGCAAATTTAGTCAAGGAGACCAGGGACCAAATAATCAAGGAGTATACTAATCCAAAACATAGGCATATCAAAATTATCAAAATACATATTTGAGGTGTGTTATAACTAAACAATAAAAACTTAGTTGGCTCTCTAGAGCTACTAGTCTAGTTTTGGGAGAAGCCCTCCAGTTCTGGCTTAAAGAGCAGGAAAAGCATTTCCTAATGCTCAGAAAGACTAGGAGAAATCTGCCATTTTTTGTTCTTGTCTCTGTTCTCTAGTGCCCCAGGCCCCAGGAAATCCTGCCAGCCCAGCAGTGCCAATGACTACAATGGGCACCAAAATCTCTGAGAGAGGGGAACCTTCCTCTAAGGAGAAGCTGTGGTCTCAGGAGAATGGGCAGAATGCCGGTTGCTTTTTTTTTCTGTCCATCTACTGACTGGCCCTGGACATGGCACAGTCCCAGCGAGTAGTATGCAGCAGCGCAGGATCACTGAAGCACTAGCTTTCTGGCTGTAAGGCTAAAAGAGGAAGTCTAGGAAACCAGAAAGTACCAGAGATCATGGAGACAGAGGAGCTCAGGAAAGTAACAAAGTTGATTATAAACACCTAGGCTCACCTTCAAGCTGCACAAGGGTGGATCTGATCCTAAACAGCATACCAAAGACTTTGAAGGATATACCACTGCACATGTCCCAGACTGATCACTGAGCGCGGCACACATAGTAGATAGATCTGAACAGTACCACAAATATTCTGAAAACAAAATTGACGTTGAAACTAGAACCTACAGGAGTTTGGTTGAAATTTGTGGCCTGAATACAACCAGCTCTATTGCCTGCTAAAACAAAAAATATCAATATTCTCCATAGGATTTAAACAAAAGCCAGAGTCTTATATTATTTTTTTAATAGAATTTCTAGAAGTTGAATTTTTGTTTAAAGCTCATTTGGCCAAAAAGTTTGCTTTTATGTTGCCCATATTTTATTTTATTTATTTATTTTTTTTAACATCTTTATTGGAGTATAATTGCTTTACAATGGTGTGTTAGTTTCTGCTGTATAACAAAGTGAGTCAGCTATACATATACATATATCCCCATATCCCCTCCCTCTTGTGTCTCCCTCCCTCCCTCCCTATCCCACCCCTCTAGGTGGTCACAAAGCACAGAGCTGATCTCCCTTTGCTATGCGGCTGCTTCCGACTAGCTATCTATTTTACATTTGGCAGTGTATATATGTC